CCTGGCAGATGACCTTAGCGACAGCGACACTGACTCTGACGACTTCACCGACAGCGACTCTAGCGACGAGGATGGCGTGGGGGGCCGCTACCGAGGTTTTGGCACCGAAGCTCCTTTGCAAGCGCGCTCTTGGGCGGACATGCAGCGCGGACGCGACGCTCCACTGCAGCCTCCTGGACGTGGCGGATCATTCCGCGTGCCTCCGCATCGTCTTTACAAGTCCAGCAGCTTCGGGAATCTGAACAATCGCCGTCTGTCTGCGTTCTTGGAAGAGGAGGAAGAGGAATGGGAAGAAGAGGAGCACCAAGCCCAGACTGAGGACGAGGATGACACCTCGACAGGCGGGCAGTCAAACGGCGGACCGCTCACTGACACAGACGAAGAAGGAGCGCAAATCTCCGGTGCGAAGGTACGCGAAGTTTCGCCAGACTTGGACGACCAAGACTCGGACGATGGCAGCAGTGAGGAAGCATACTTGACTGGCAACGACTCCACGGGCCCCAGTCGTTCAAACTCGGCGGCCTTGGATTTAGTCGGTCTGCATGGTTTGCAAAGGAAGTCTGGATCCTTTGAACAGCAAGCGCTCGGTGATGCTGAGTCCACATCTGATCTCGATGAAAGCCATAGCTCTGGTGCGACAGTCGGGCCATCGCCAAATGGACACACCACACCGAACGTCCAAGCTTCGTCAGGACAACTGGAGGACGGTGATGAATTTGAAGATGTTTCCGATGACGACAGTGAGAGCGATGCTGCCACGCCTCTCGCACGTACAGTGCCGCTCGCGGCCGTATGAAGTCTACTAGTCGGCACACAGTTGTGCTGAAGAGGACCTGTTTCACGCTCCTTGCACGCACTGCACCGTTTTACCCTTGTGCCACTCCTTTGCCCGCCATTTGCCACTTGCTCACTTGTGTCATTGCCATTGCCATTGCCGTAATATCAGCGTCATACCACTTCGTTTACCAGTCTCGACCTTAATGGCTCGCCCTGCGTGCGAGCGTCTTGAGCAGACGAGCGTGCAGATGAGGACAGTTGTTGCAGTGAGTGTGAGCAGTGATTGAACGCGGGAGTGCTCATGGTGTCGAGCTCCCCGGAAGCTTGGGTCGGGAAACGGGGCTGCTCACCTCCAAAGAGCCGGGATTTGCGTCTTCGTTTTGTTATTCGGATCCACATGAGACCATCAGTGCTGCACACGCCGATGACTTCTTGTGGCCTCTCAATCCAGTGCACCTACAAGACATTGCGGGGGCTGGAGCTACGTTCATGGCGCTGCGCGTTGATCCGGACGTGTGAGAGTTCAGGACTGGACCGCGCGCCATTCGATCGGCTTTCACGAAGACAAGCATCATCATCTTGCAGCCGCTACCACGCTAGCGGGTGAGACGAGGCACAGGATCCATTCAAGCTTCTTGGGCTTCGAAAGCTTTCAGCTGAAAAACTCGGTGGTCGTGCCTGACACAGCACTCGTGACTCAATTTGTTTTCGGATATCCCACGAGCTGATTGTGTGCAGGAAAACTCTCTGCTGAGCATGCGCCTAGCATTCGAATTGAGCTTGAGACCAGGTGCCTTCCGCTAGCTCGATGCTACCTCATGTCAACCACTCACGAACGAAGCCCTTTTGGCTCAATTGCGGACAGAAGATTGGTGTCATTATTCGTTCACGAGCAGGGTTTGCGTGATCATTATCCGGTTCAGCATCGCCTTTGTCATGTTAGAATTTTGCATGACCACACGGCACCTGGTCACCTCTGGTCAACTTACGTGATCTTGAATCAGGAAACGTTGACCCAAGATTGGCCCAGGCGGAGTAAATTTGCGAGCAAAGTCGCATGAGAGGCAGTAGTGGGAGAGGGGACGTGCCGAATAGCCGCAACCGCGTAGGGGCTTGTCGATCTCCCCTCCCACCTGTGACAGACAATCCGTGGGTAAATACGCAGCGCGGATCCCTAATCAAGGAAGCGCTAAGGGTCCCTCCGGGATCTTCAAATTTGCGTGATCAGGCCCGAGAAAGGGGAAAAGCTGCTAGCGGCTGCAACCCTCGGCGTGAGCGCGTTTGAAAGCCTCTCGAGATGAACAGAACGTGACCGGTTCCCGAATCCGAAATTGGTACTATCACAAACGAAATTGGTACTCAGGTGACTTTCCCCCTGCGATG